TAAACCAGGAACCGAAGTATTAAAACCATTTTCACCTAATACTTGGTACGCATTTGTACTATCTGGAATTATTATAGCAATTGCGATAAATATTACCTTTTGGACTGAACACAAATTTGAAAAAAGTCGTCCAAAATATAGTTTGTTCACGTCTATGATAATAACAATTTCCGTATTGGCCCAACAAGGTGAGGATTATTTTTATTTATATTATTACTAGACGACCAGAGCATATCATGTTGGTTATATATATATATATATATATATATATATATATATATATATATATATATATATATATATATATATATATATATATGTATATATATATATATATATATTTGTAGGTTCAGCATTTGTTCCATTTGGAAATTCAGGAAGAATAATTTTTCTCAACCTTTTAATATTCTCCATTTTCATATATAACTATTACACATCAAGCTTGGTCTCTTCTCTACTGAGTAGCGTACCGGAACCGATAAGTACAATAAAAGAACTATACGAAAGTGATTTGAAGGTGGCAATCGAAAACCGTCCATATACAATAACATACATCATCCAACAAAAAAATGACCGATACATTAATCTACTTAACAGAACGAAAATTTATGAAAACAACATACCAAATTTTATGAGTCCAAATGAAGGTATTGCTAAGGTGAAAAAAAGAACGTATGCTTATCATACAGACGATGTAACTGCTTATTCTTGGTTAGATAATGCAGATCAAGAGCTACTGTGTGATCTAGCTGAGATTAATTTTATCCCTAATAGTGATATAGGAATGGTTTTGCAGAAAAACTCGGAATATATGGAGTTATTCCAAATAAGGTATTAATATATGACTTTATACAAAAAGCTTCCTAGTTTTGGAACTAAAAAAAAAACAAAAATAGAAAAAATATTATCATTTCATTTAAAATTCAAAAGTTTCTAGACTAAATAATTTAATCATAGATTTGTATCTTTCTATAACTTAAAATAATTCTTTATTTTTTTGTTTAGCTTACTTAAAATGCAAACCAGTGGCATCTACGATAGAGAAAACAAATTTTGGATTCCAAAAAAACCTGTATGTCTTTTGACTACCAGAGTGAAAGCTGTCGGTTTAAACGAACTATTTCTTGTGTACCTAATTCTATTTTGTGGAATAGTATTATCAATGTTTATATTTTGTTTAGAAATTATTTCTTGTAAATTAACTGTATTCACAAAACATTTTTAATACGTCAACGTCAGTTCAGAAAAAAGTAGAAATGGACGATGGCGTGATATTTAGAATAGCTATTTAGCAAACATATTAAAAGCTATAAAGTCCTGCAATATATTATCCTTCACTAATCAAATTACAAGTTCATTTGTCACTTCAGCCATGATTACATCTTTGCTGAATGTAGATATATCAAATTACTTAATTTTTTTAACTTCTTGGTGAAATATTATTTATTAATTTAAAAAACTATTTGAATGCATTAGTTTAGATATTTATTATCCTTTTGGGTAGAATTTCAAATCCTTGCTGTAAATCTAAATGTTTTAGAAGTAATAATGTCATATTTTGTTTTCACTTCAATAAAAACATTCTATTTTCACATTTAAAATAACCCAACGCAATCGGTTCACGTACGCTACTGCTCAAGATTCTAATACGAGCGAAAAAGAAACAATGATTTATGCCGCGTTTGAGAATCCACATCGGATGCATCTGAGATGTAAAAAATCTTTGATCACGTGATTCAGTATACGTAAATGTAATGGGACAGATGTGTCCGATGTGGATAAAAAAACGCTCGAGATGTAAAAAATGCATCCGATGTGGATTCTCAAACGCAGCATTAATATTAGCGACATCAACATGTAGGAACTGACAGTTTAGATATGGCAACCCTGTAGACCTGTTGTCATTGACATATATAGTTATATAGATTGCTCTAAGCGGGTCGTTTGCGAGCGGCCATATCGGTTTAGCAAAAATGCGTTTTAAAACCAATTTTAAGCCTTTAAATATAGTAAAAAAAAATAATTATCAAACATTTTTACTTCAAAGCATAATCAATCTTATGTCTATTTTATTACGAATAATTGATTGATAATAAAATCAAATAACAGTAGTTTTATATAGAGAAATAATTTAAAAAATAGTAGACAATCCTTTCTTTATAACTTTTTTAACAAAATTCCTATCAAAAAACCATCTAAAATTCCTATTTTTTATAATTTTCCCACATTTCTCAATAATTTTTCCACATTTCTTCACTATTTTTCTCCAAATTATCCCCACAATTCCCTCGCTTCGCCCATCAAAATATTTCCCTCCCTTCCCCGTCTCCTTATATATCCTATTCTTACAAAGAAGGATGGATTTTGGTCAATTTGGGTTAATTTAAAAAAAAATGTAACTTATTATAAAAATTCCTGCTATTTCCCATAATTTTCTTTATAAATTTCCTTTAATATTTCCCATTTACCTAAAATTTTTCCCTAAGTCCCTCAATAATTTTTCCACAAATTTACCCAAAATTTCCAGCCTTAATTTCACAATTTTCTCTAAATTCCTCTTATTCCCCACAATTTTTCATACATTTCTTCAGAATTTTTCCATTTCTTCACTATTTTTACCAAATTTCCCTCACAATTTTTCCCTAAGTTCCCCAACAATTTTGCCCCAGGGTTTATCCAAAATTTCCAGCCATATTCCCTTATTTCCCACAATTTTTCATACATTCCCTCACAATTTTTACATTTCCTCACTATTTTTCTCAAATTTTTCTCACTATTTTTCTCCAAGTTCCCCAACAATTTTCCCATAAATTTACCCAAAATTTCTAGCCGTATTTTCACAATTTTCTCCAAATTCCCTTAGTCCCCACAATTCTTCATACATTCCTTCACAATTTTTTCATTTCCTCACTATTTTTCCCAAATTTTCCTCACAATTTCCTCCAACAATTTTTTCATTAATTTATCCAAAATTTCCAGCCTTAATTTCAAAATTTTTCCCCACAATTTTTCATACATTTCTTAACAATTTTTCCATTTCTTCACTATTTTTACCAAATATCCCTCACAATTTTCCCTAAGTCCCTCAACAATTTTGCCCCAAATTTTATCCAAAATTTCCAGCCATATTCCCTTATTCCCCACAATTTTTCATACATTCCTTCATAATTTTGACATTTCCCCACTATTTTTCTCAAATTTCTCTCAAAATTTTTCTATAAGTTCTCAAACAATTTTTCCACAAGTTTACTCAAAATTTCCAGCCCTAATTTCACAATTTTCTCTAAATTTTCTTATTCCCCATAATTTCTCAAACATTTCCTCACAACTTTTTCATTTCCTCACTATTTTTCTCAAATTTTTCTCACAATTTTTCCCTAAGTCCTCCTTTCCCACAAATTTACCCAAAATTTTCAGCCTTAATTTTACAATTTTCTCCAAATTCCCCCTATTCGCCTTAATTTTTCATACATTTCCTCACAATTTTTCCCTTTCCTCACTATTTTTCTCAAATTTTCCTCACAATTTTTCCCAAATTTCTCCCACAATTTTTCTTTAAGTCGTTCAACACTTTTTCTTTAAATTTACCCAAAATTTCTAGTCATATTTGTACAATTTCCAGCCATATTCCCTTATTTCCCACAATTTTTCATACATTCCTTCATAATTTTGACATTTCCTCACTATTTTTCCCAAATTTATCTCACAATTTTTTCACAAATTTACCCAAAATTCCCAGTCATATTTTTACAATTTTCTCCAAATTCCCTTATTCTCCACAATTTTTCAAATATTTCCCCACAATTTTTCCCAAATTTCTCCCACAATTTTTCTTTAAGTCGTTCAACACTTTTTCTTTAAATTTACCCAAAATTTCTAGTCATATTTGTACAATTTCCAGCCATATTCCCTTATTTCCCACAATTTTTCATACATTCCTTCATAATTTTGACATTTCCTCACTATTTTTCCCAAATTTATCTCACAATTTTTTCACAAATTTACCCAAAATTCCCAGTCATATTTTTACAATTTTCTCCAAATTCCCTTATTCTCCTCAATTTTTCAAATATTTCCCCACAATTTTTCCATTTCCTTACTGTTTTTCCCAAATTTCCCTCATAATTTTTCGCTCTTAAAAATTTTTCCACAAATTTACCTGAAATTCCCAGCCATATTTTCACAATTTTCCCTAATTCCGCTTATTCCCCACATTTTTTATACCCACAATTTTCCCTTAACCGTCAATATTTCTCACATAAATTCCCCCAAAATTCTCTCATTTCCCTACAGTTTTCAATACTTTTCCGAATTTCCCAGCTAATTTCCCATTTCCATACAAATTTCGCTATTTTTCTAGAATTTTCCCCATTATTTCCCATTTCCTCACAATTTCCTTGCTGTTTAAGACAAAATCCGCATATTAATGTTAATTTTGAAAAACATGGGTGATCAATCTATATAAATATCTATTACATTGATCCTGTCAATTATTAGACTCACAGGGTTGCCATATCATAACCTGTCAATAGGTTCTTTCGTTCGCTATTGGTGAAGTGTACACTAGTGTAAATTACACCAGTTACACCACCTTATTTACCTTAGTTTACTTCCCTCCTTATTCCTTATATACATGTCGAGTGTAATTCACTCCTGCTAAATAGCTTGTGGAGAAAATATCCACCAGTGGACACCACATCGCCGACAGAAAGGTTTAGTGGATTTTACACCGGGCCGAACGAAAGGTTTAGTGAACGTTGGTGTAGTTCATTCCTACACCAGTGGGACGAACGAAAGAACCGATTATGCATTACAGTTAATTCGAGAAAAAATCTATATTCTTTTTTGTGCTATATTTTATCAATACCCAACATCACAAAGATATCTCTTTGGTAAGCGCTCGAACTTGCTCGGGTCCGGAGTAAAAAGTGTGACTAAAGTCGAACTCGGATAGCGATAATAAGTTGGCAACAATGAGCAAAACGTCACTTTTGTGACAGTCGTTGACGTGTATTATTTCTGACGTTTATTTTATGGGGTACACATCATTGCGAAAATAAGTTTTAAATTAAATATTGCTTGTAATACGTGTACAAACAACAGTATCAGTAAATAAGTTACAAATAGTATCGTTATGGTCTTAATTCTGATACGATTTTGAAGAAATTTGGGTTATTTGAGTGATTAGAAAAGACTGATAAAATTGTAGTAACAATGGGTCTTACAATATCTGCAGTATTTAATAGATTATTTAGCAAAAAACCCATGAGAATACTAATGGTTGGACTCGATGCGGCAGGTAAAACAACAATTTTATACAAATTAAAACTAGGAGAAATTGTTACAACTATTCCTACAATTGGGTTTAACGTCGAAACTGTGGAATATAAAAACATTTCCTTTACGGTTTGGGACGTAGGCGGTCAGACGAAAATCAGAAAACTTTGGAGACATTATTTCGCTAACACCGATGGGTTGATATTCGTCGTCGATTCCAACGATAGAGATCGTATTGCAGAGGCTGAACAAGAGTTACATAATATGTTAGGTGAAGAAGATTTGAGGGACTCCATTTTATTAATATTTGCTAATAAACAAGATTTACCTAATTCGATGTCTACTGCTGAGTTAACTGATAAATTGCAGTTGAATACTATGAAGAACAGACGGTGGTATATTCAAGCTACTTGTGCTACTCAAGGTAGTGGTTTGTATGAAGGACTTGATTGGTTATCTAACGAATTGGCTAAATAATTTTAGTATGCTGAATTTAAAACTTTAATTTACCTACTAAAAATATTTTTAAAAACATTATTACTTAGTTTGTAATTATAATTAAAATTTAAACATACCTAGTGTTTTAATTATTGAATTATTACCTTCCCAAATGAATATGACAAGAGTTATTATGTTATTGGTTTGGTGAGTTTAAAAATTGTACCACAAATCTAAAGAAAACACACCAATTAGCTTGTGGTATAGAAAAGATTTGTTTAATAATAATTAAAAATAATTTTATGGTGATAAACAAGAAAGTAAAGGATTATTACAAATCTTTGATTTCCTTGCTATTTTCCCCCAAATTCCCCTCATAACTTCCCCTATAATTTTTCCACATTTTGTCACAATTTTAATCAAAATTTCTAACCATTTTTTTACACTTTTTCCCATATTTTCCCACAGTTTTGCATACATTTCCTGGCAATTTTGTCTTAATTGCCACTATTTCCCCAAAAATTCCCCCATTTCCCCATAATTCTTTTGCTACGTCCAACAAAAAATTTCCCCATTCCAACTCCTCAAGAATTTCCCCATTATCATACAAGAAAGGCAGTAAAAATGTAACTAATTACAAAAATTACTGCTATTCCCCATAATTTTCCTTTATTTTTTTACAAATTTCTCTCAATATTCCCCATTTCCCCATATTTTTTCCACATTTCCTCACAATTTTTCCCATACTTCCCTCAAAATTGTTCCCTAAGTCCCGCAACTGTTTTCTTCAAATTCCCCACAATTTTTCATACATTTCTTCATTATTTTTTCCAAATTTCCCTAATAATTTTTCACTCCCAAAAATTTTTCCACAAATTTACAGCCATATTTTCACAATTTTCCCCTTATTTCTCACAATTTTTCATACATTTCCTCACAATTTTTTTTATTTTCTAACTTTTTTACTCAAATTTTCCTCAATTTTTCACTTCCAAAAATATTTCCACAGATTTACCTAAAATTTCCAGCCTTAATTTAACAATTTTCTCAAAATTCCCCTTATTCCCCACAATTTTCCATGTTTCCTCACTATTTTTCCAAAATTTCCGTCACAATTTTTCCACAAATTCACTCAAAATTTCCAGCCATATTTTCACAATTTTTTCCAAATTCCTTTATTCCCCACAATTTTTCATACATTCCCTCACAATTTTTTCATTTCCTCACTATTTTTCCCAAATTTCCCTTATAATTTTTCACTCCCAAAAATTTTCCCATAATTTTCAGAGAAAATTTGAGATACTTTTAAAAAATGTAACTAATTACAAAAATTACTGCTATTCCCCACAATTTTCCCATAATTTTCACAGAAAATTTGAGATACTTTTAAAAAATGTAACTAATTACAAAAATTACTGCTATTCCCCACAATTTTCCTTTATTTCTTTACAAATTTCTCTCAATATTCCCCACATTTTTTCCACATTTCCTCACAATTTTTCCCATATTTCCTTCATAATTGTTCACGAAGTCCTCCAACTGTTTTCTTCAAATTCCTGTTATTCCCCACAATTTTTCATACATTTCTTCACTATTTTTCCAAAATTTCCCTCAAAATTTTTCACCCCCAAATATTTTTTCACAAATTATCCAAAATTTACAGCCGTATTTTCACAGTTTTCTCCTAATTCCCCTTATTTCCTATAATTTTTCATACATTTCCTCAAATTTCCCTCAATTTTTCATTCTCAAAAATATTTCCACAAATGTACCCAAAATTTCCAGCCTTAATTTAACAATTTTCTCAAAATTCCCCTTATTCCCCACAATTTTCCATGTTTCCTCACTATTTTTCCAAAATTTCCGTCACAATTTTTCCACAAATTCACTCAAAATTTCCAGCCATATTTTCACAATTTTTTCGAAATTCCTTTATTCCCCACAATTTTTCATTTTTCCCAAATTTCCCTTATAATTTTTCACTCCCAAAAATTTTCCCATAATTTTCAGAGAAAATTTGAGATACTTTTAAAAAATGTAACTAATTACAAAAATTACTGCTATTCCCCACAATTTTCCTTTATTTCTTTACAAATTTCTCTCAATATTCCCCACATTTTTTCCACATTTCCTCACAATTTTTCCCATATTTCCTTCATAATTGTTCACGAAGTCCTCCAACTGTTTTCTTCAAATTCCTGTTATTCCCCACAATTTTTCATACATTTCTTCACTATTTTTCCCAAATTTCCCTCAAAATTTTTCACCCCCAAATATTTTTTCACAAATTATCCAAAATTTACAGCCGTATTTTCACAGTTTTCTCCTAATTCCCCTTATTTCCTATAATTTTTCATACATTTCCTCACAATTTTTTCATTTCCTCACTATTTTTCTCAAATTTCCCTCAATTTTTCATTCTCAAAAATATTTCCACAAATGAACCCAAATTTTCCAGCCTTAATTTAATAATTTTCTCAAAATTTTCCTTATTCCCCACAATTTTTCATATATTTCCTCACAATTTTTCCATTTCCTCACTATTTTTCTCAAATTTCCCTCAATTTTTCACTCCTAGTCCCCAATAATTTTTCCAAAAATTTACTCAAAATTTCCAGTCTTAATTTCAAAATTTTCTCCAAATTCCCCTTATTCCCGACAATTTTTCATATATTTCCTCACAATTTTTTCCATTTCCTCACTATTTTTCTCAAATTTCCCTCAACTTTTCACTCCTAAAAATATTTCCACAAATTTACCCAAAATTTCCAGCCTTAATTTAACAATTTTCTTAAAATTCCCTTTATTCCCCACAATTTTTTATATATTTCCTCACCATTTTTCCATTTCCTCACTATTTTTTCAATAATTTTTCCATAAATTTACCCAAAATTTCCAGCCTTAATTTCACAATTTTTTCCAAATTCCCTTATTCCCACAATTTTTCATACATTCCCTCACAATTTTTCTATTTCCTCACTATTTTTCTCAAATTTCCCTCATAATTTTTCACCCCCAAAAATATTTCCACAAATTTACCCAAAATTTCTAACCTTACTTTCACAATTTTCTCTAAATTCCCTGATTCTCCACAATTTGTTATACATTTTCTCACTTTTTTCCTAAATTTTCCTCACAGTTTTTCCCTAAGTCCCCCAATAATGTTTCCACAAATTCACCCAAAATTTCCAGCCATATTTTTACAATTTTTTCCAAATTCCCTTATTCCCACAATTTTTCATACATTCCCTCACAATTTTTCTATTTCCTCACTATTTTTCTTAAATTTCCCTCATAATTTTTCACCCCCAAAAATATTTCCACAAATTTACCCAAAATTTCTAACCTTACTTTCACAATTTTCTCTAAATTCCCTGATTCTCCACAATTTTTTATACATTCCCTAACAATTTTTCCATTTCTTCACTATTTTTCCCAAATTTCCCTCATAATTGTTCCCTAGGCAGTTTTTCCACAAATTTACCCAAAATTTTTAGTCAAAATGGAATTATTTATTACTACAACAGAACAGTCTATTAGGTTTGACCAGTTATTATGTTTTTGACTTGAGTGAGCTTAAAAACTGTACCCAAATCTAAAAAAAAAAAAATAATTAGCTTGTAGTATAGAAAAGAAAAATAAAGAAAGAAAAATAAATAAAAAAAAAGAAAGAAGAGGAAAAATAAATTAAAAAAATAAAAAAAGAAAAGGAAAAATAAATAATAAATTAAATAAATCAAAAATGAGTAAAAGTAAATAAAAATATAAAAGAAAAAAAATTAATAAAAAATGTAAATAAAAATAAAAAATAAATATTTTTTTATAACTTTTAAACTCTATTGAACCTCTCTCCAACATATTTTGGTCATATTTCAAATAATATGGGCCCAGGAATGGTTTATCTGCACCCATGTCCAAACGGTCGACTAATTATGACATTTCAGATCGTGGAATACCTTAAAAAGTCATGAAAAAAAGAAAATGTCATCCAAAAGTTTGTGCGATTTTTCTTTTAGAAGTAAGACTTTCAATTATTCGAGGCGAAATAAAACTACAATTAAAAATGAGTATGGTCATTGTTTTAGTGCAAAAAAGACATAAGAAATTTTCAATAATTTTGGTTATGAAAAGGATTGATTGATTGTTCAAGCTATTTTTCTCAATTAGGTACATTCACTTACAGCTATAGACATAACGTATATACAAGAAGTTATTGCAAACTACAAAATATAACAATTCATTAATTTTATTACAATTCGTTGTATATTTTCTACTCCCATAAACACCTATTTAGCAGCCTGCTTGAGATAAATAAATATACTATGCTGTGCCTACAATAAACCTAAGTATCCCTTAATATATTATAATAAAGAAGAAATTACTTGAAAAATATAGTTTTCGGAAATTTACATCAAAGAGAGCATTTGTATCAGTCTAGATGTAAAAGTATTGTGATAATTTAGGTACATTTGGCAGTTTAAAACAAAATTTAATAAAAAAAACGATTAAATTAAAAGTAGAAAGGCTTCTTTTAACAATTTAATTCAAATTATAGTAAGTATACAATCATTTCTCCATTGCATATTAATTTTTCTTACCAATCTGTTTTACCAACCAAGGTGCAAACAAATTAAAAATTTCGTAATAAAAATAGTCAAATTACAAAAACAGAGCATTCTATTAAAATTTTATGACGGTTGTGATCCGCTATCAATCAAAACTTTTATATAATTAAGAAATTCTTGAACCACCGTTCGTTTAACACATTCATTTTGACACTTTTAGGTTCTTAATAATTTTTTCTTGACGCCTCTGCGATATTTAAAAGACTTACGGAAAAAGTATTTAGAAGGTTTTCCTGGAAAACATGTCTGGTGCATTTAGACGACATTACAGTCTTGGGGAAGAACAACTTATAATAGAATTGCAATCTAAAACAAATATTTTATTTGGACAAAACCTGGACAAAGTTAATTACTTGATACGATACGCAAGCCACGGAAGGATGTTTCCAGGAAGGCGACAAAGTCTGACTCCATAACTCTAAAAGACAAAAGGGTTATTATCCGAAGCTTCAAAGATTTTAGAAAGGTATGTACTTCATCAAGAAAAAAATTATTGACGTCATTTACCAAAACCGGCTGACGCCATTTGATGGAGCTGGTTATCCAAGAAACACCAGACCTTTTAGAATACAGACGTTTTAAGAATCTTCCAAGGCAAATTAATAAAAAGATATTTAAGTTTACTCAAGAGATATACACAAAAATAAGATAATTCAGCAGATGGAGCAGTAAAGATACTTAGTGCCTTCAATAGCAAATAACATAAGAACTTCCAATATGCAAAAAATGTTGCACATTGTCTGTAAGGCACTACTTAGAACATAAACGAAGATTATAGTTTGTTCGAGTAAAGAACCCGAACAGACTTTCTTATAATGCTTTCAAACTTTTCACCACATTTCGTTAACATATTACGAAAGCCTGTCTACTTTTAATTGTATCTAAATAAAATTCAGTCTTAAATATTAACTATAGCGTCTTTGAAACTATCATAGCGTCTCAATTGACAAGTAAATAAGTGGTAATACTTAATTTAACATTAACATTTCTTACTTTTATTTTAGAGTCTATACATTGTCTTTAATTATTGTGCCACGTGAAGAGTTTTAAACGAAATATATAGATAGTTTTCGTAATCACAGAAAGGATAATGAAAGTGTAGACAAATTAGAATGATTTATATACAGAAAAATTCTAAAATGTTTAACATATTTAGGATTTGTGCACGTGTGCTGTTTGATTCTGGTTCGGAATCAAAATATATTTTTGTCAGATAGGATAAGTATGTTACTCTTTCTATAGTCTCTACCCAGACAACACACCAAATCCCAGAGATATCCACAGAATATCTTTTGTGGATATCCAATATATCCACAGGATATCAGAAATATCCCGTGGATCTAATATGGATATCCAAATGTCCGTCTATATCCAGGATATAGAAGATATCCTAATGGATATTCAGCAAAATATTTAATGGGTATCTTCCAAACAATACAAGAAATCCCAGAGATATCCACAGAATATAATTTGTGGATATCCAATATGGATGTAGAATTCAGATAATCAGCAAAATATTTTATAGGTATCTTTAGTAGAGGTTCATAAGTAACCAATAATTATTGAATAACGTCGAAAGAAAATAGAGATAAATAAATATTTCCAACAATCTGCCTTTGATTTTGCCCACCATAAGGGCACTAAGAGAGAAAGTCATCCTTATTAGGACTCTTCAGCAATATATGGAAATTCTCGACTCCAGTCTCTAATAGAGTCTGATTCTGAAAAAAAATTCGATCACACTCATTTACGGCGGGTTGAGCATGAGTAGATACGAAAGTGGTATCGCCATCTATACTTAGGAAACAAAAAATTAATTTTAAATATCTGAACGGTACTATTAGCCACAATGGCGTAATTTTTTAATAATTTGCTACATAATTACTATTATTTATGGACATTTGCATGTCTATAAATTACGTTTCATGGATATAAAATAGATATCCACCATGGACTGGACATTCAGTGGATATTGGGATGTTCAGTAGATATCCAAAGGATTTGGTGTGCTGTCTGGGATATTAAAAATATTTGCATTTAGAGTTGACAAACTAAAAAAATTAAATAAAAAACGTTTATAAAATTTAAATTTTTAATTAAATAAAAAGTTATAAAAAATAAAAACGGACAAAAATGTAAATAAAATAGAAATGAAATCAAATAAAAAAAGATAATAACAAATAATTGACTTAAAAATAAGGATGGATGTAAATACAAAGCCAAAATATCACAATAATTAACTAAATTAAATGTTAAATATTTTCGATGTGGAATTAGAATCCCTTCATCACGTACAGTTGACGTAAACAAATAAATTTAAGTAATACTGGCTGTTAAATTATATATCAGTATATAAATGTTTTTTCCAAAGAGTGCGAAGATTTTTTAAAAAAATGAAAGGTTTAGATATTATTGCACTACTGACATTTAATTTAGCACCTACTTCACTTATATTATTTTAAAAACATCTAGCGTTTCCATCATAAAATAAAACTGAATTTAAAATATTGCTCAACAATCATAATAAAAAAGAGTAGAAAAACAGCTAATAATAAATAATACATTAACAATTTATTTTAAATTCAGTTTACAAATTATTGTGATTCTTATATATAAGTATAAAGAATTAAATAAAATTCTTGGATCACATTAATCGTTAAAATTAAGTCCTTAGTCGATAAGTTTGTAGAAATATAATTTCTACTCAGATATTTTTTTAATGACATTTTTTTAACTCTCTACTGTTTACTGCCAGACACTGGCAAGATATTATCGTCTCATAAACGGGAAGAAATTGATAAAAAATGTATTGGAAATATTTTTTTACAATTGCGTTTTTTACGGTCCATGATTATTTTAGATATATGCCGGTGCTTCTCCTTATTTTTTGGTTGTTCCTACTCGTTTTCCAAAAAAATATGCCTGTTATAAAAACACTCAGTATATATACACACACAGAGCTTATTTTTTCGTGTTAGGCATACAACCAGTGGCGTGCGGTGACATTTTTGGAAGGGGAAGCGATTGTATAAAATAACAGCAGGCCAGTAAAGAAAAAACCTTTTAAAATCTGATAGGAAAAATTGAGTCAAAAAAATCTATTTTTTAAAATATTTTTGGTACGTTAAAATGCTCCAAAATTAAACTTTCTGATATTTTGAGGCTAAACGATTTCTTGTGATTTTATATACAGGGTGACTCATTACAAGTAGCACTGATCGTATCTCAGAATATCTTGATTTATTTTAAAGAAATGCAAAAATAGATCGAGTTTTATTTCAAGGGGGACACCTTTCTATAGTATCCTTAATATTTCAATAATATGTCGTTTTTTTTTAAATTTAACGCCCTCTAACGGGATACTTTTCATTTTAACGCCCTTTAACGAAATAAAGAACTGTTTCGTATTGTAAAATGTGACTCGGCATTTAAAAATTAATTTTATTGTTAATTCAATGAACTACATAATGTAAAATCCATATACTGTCCTAAATTTAAATAAATGCGCCGTTTTAAATTGGACTCCCAATGCTTGGGGATGAAAGTGACGTCCGATTGATAGCAGGATATAAATATACATATATATGAGGACACGTACCGGCATATATCATCTACTAATATTAAATACTTTATACTCTAGTTTTATATTTTTAAACTGATATATTTGATTAAATAATTTTGGAAATCTCAGAAAGAAATTGTACATAGTAAATTTTCGGGGTTACTAACTAATACTAATTATTAAATTTTTATATTACATTTACAAACTTACCGACTGATTGTGTTCATACGAAAACTATCAACTTTTGGCCTATAGGTAAAATTATTAAGCCGTTTAGGTATATCTATTTATAGAAGTATTGTCTCTACTATATAACTTAAATTTTATGCGACTTAAATGCTAAAAAATAGTAATTTGAAGAAATTTAGAAACAAACAATGTAAAAATAAAAATTAGTTAGGTTAGATCAGTTAGATATACGCGCGGAAACCGTAATATTATCGTACCAATCATAATTATGGTTTTTACGTGTACTGGAACAGAGCTTGTATTAATATATTTCTGTTTTTGATCTAGTTGACACTAAAAACATTCTTAAACGATTCAATCTACTTGTCATTGTCTTGTGTCAGTCTGTTTATGTCTTATGTCAATTGTCAAATGTCGAAATAGGTCTACTTGTTACAGACTTGACCCTAAAAACATTCTTGAACGCTTCAATCTACTTGTCATTGTCCTGTGTCAGTCTATTTATGTCTATTGTCAGATGTCACTTGTTGCCTCGTTACTGTTGTGCCCACTCAAAGCCCAATTTCAATTTGTATACACTATTGTTCCTAAATTTCAACAAAACCAAATTATTTCTACATCTTCTAGAATAATTTCCACTTGTTCTTGAAACAAAGAATGAACGTATAGGTATCTATTAATAATAAAGTATAGTATCACCCTGTGTTATATTTACAACATTGTTCCCTTTTTTAAACTAACCAGTCTTCCTAAATACTATGTAGGAGTGAATCCCAAATTTTTTCTCTGCAAGAATAAGTGGATCTCTCTAAAGGTAGGCCGTTCGGTGTCCTTTTTCTTCCAACATTCTAACATTAAATCGTAAATGTCCTTGTGATTCGTAGGACGAGGTAGGTATTTGAATTGCCCATCATCACAGTGTAAATGCGCCAAATTTTCCATTACTTCCGGATCGGTAAGGAAGTCGAATGGTTGTCGATGACAGAGCGTTAAAATTTCCCATAACGTCACAGCGAAGCCCCAAACGTCCGTTTTCGTTGTATACCTTAAACATGAAACTTTTATTAATAGTATCACTTGTCAATAATATTTAAACATTAATTCGTTTTTCTATGATAATTGCTTAAGCAAACATCTAAAAAATGGTTGGTATTTATCACATTAACTACTATGATTGCACACAGTTTATTAGATTTTAATCATTGTAAAAATTATAGAAATTATGGACATTTTTCTGTAAATAAAGCTTTTTACAGGTATAGTTTTTTTCATTTATCAATTTTAGGTTTCAGTTATTCAATATCGCCTCTATTTGTGTAAGAATAGTTGAAAATTGGTATAAGAAGCATTTTAACACAATAATTCTTACCTTGTTTGATAGACGCTCTCCCAAGCCATCCACCTTATCGGCAATGGAGTATTACCATCAACTTTATAATAATCACCAACGTAAAGTTCGTTGTATGTTCCGAAATCACATATTTTAATCTGGTAAGATTTACCTATTAAACAATTTCGCGTTGATAAGTCTCTATGCACGAAATTTAAACATTCCAAATAATGCATTCCAGAGGCAATTTGCACGCCCATATGTAGTAGATGATCAAACGACAGCATTTTTAAACCGTAAGGTAGTGTCGACGTATTAGATGCTGCAACGTGGGTTTTCAAAAATTGGCATAAATCTCCATGATCGAGATATTCCATAACGACGCACAGGGGTTCGTCTTTGCTGCAGATACCGAGGACTCGTGCTATGTTTGGATCTTCTAGCGCGGCTAATATTCGAACGTCACGGTAGAAGTCTTTCCTAAAATAATAGATTTAATTTATTTATATACCTAATTAAAAATATAAAATAAAATACTTTAATTTATTATTAGATACTGGTTCCAAAAAAAAAATATTAAATGTAAAATTGATATTTTTTATCTATATGTCTTAGATTAGATCTATGATTCATCAGTAGGAGTACCGACACTTGGGAGTGGGAACTTTTTAAGACTGTTGCTACATCGTGTAACGGGGAAGTGGGGAAATAAATTTGTATTAACGTCGAACAGAAAAATTATGCACAATGCCAAAAGGGTCTAAGCTTTAATTTCCGTTATTACTAGTCCGATTCAAACGGGAAAAACGGCATTATGTAGATAACTCGGTATAGATTAACGTCGAACATAAAAATCATGCGCAGTAACGGACCAAAAGAGCCTATAACTTATATCTTTGTTATTGTTGGTCCGATTTAAACGGGGAAAACGGCCTTATGTAGATAAATCGGTATAGATTAACGTTGAACATAAAAATCATGCGCAGTTTCGAACCAAAAGGGCCTATAACTTATATCTTTGTTATTGTTGGTCCGATTTAAACGGGGAAAACGGTATTATGTAGATAACTCGGTATAGATTAACGTCGAACAGAAAAATCATGCGCAGAACGAAAATCCAGAAGGGCCTTAGCGTGCTTTTCGGATATTACTGGTCCGATTCAAACGGGAAAAACGGCGTTATGTGGAGAACATAGCATAGATTAACGTCGAACAAAAATAATTGTCATTTATTTTGGATGGATGTTTAACTTCAAAAAGTTAACAAAATGAATGTAAGCATGAAATTTACTGGATACTGAATTAGACAAGATAAATTCACTAAAGCTATTTTTTAGCCACCATATTTAAAGTGATATCATGAATTAATAGATGGCCAAAATGGGATGTTTAAAAAATATAACCTGCTAACTGTCATATGATAAAATTTTGAATATACTGATTTCGATGGTATTATTTTTTGATATTCGTCAAATGGACACCAGCTGCTACACATCAAAGTACTAGATTTAGCTATGAGTGTAATAGAGCACCACATTCTGTGAAAATGTACTAGTTTTAGTACAATAGTACTTAGTAAGATGGATGTCCAAATAACGTTTCGTATAACTTATAACTTCTTTTATATTATTTTCTACTTTTCCTGAAATAGAAAATGTACCTTTCTTTATCTGAAGCAGAATCGCTTAAGAACTTAATCGCCACCAGTCTTGTTTCAGTAGATAAGGTAGATGAAAACTCATTTATTCCATCCGCTTCCGCTATATAGACCTAGAATATAATAAATTAGTATTTTGGGCTATTTAAAAAATTTAAAAATAATTCCATTACCGTTCCAAAAGCTCCTTCAGATAATTTCGATAACATTCTTAGACGATGTCTTGGAAATTCCATCATGGGCGTCCCATCCAATCGTTTCTTCAAAGCGGTGATGCTTTCTTGTAACGGACTCTAAAATATTATTATAATTGAAATATTTATCGTCTCTAGTTGTATAGATGTTGCTTACTTGTATTGTCTCCTCGTCTGTATTCGTTGAAATCCTGGATTTTTTTGGTGAAACACTGTTTAACCGGTTTCTGGAAACTGGTAACGTTATTTGCTCAGAATCTGAAAACAATTTTCAATTACTACTAAAATAATTAAAAATGTGTGTATATATATATATATCTTGCTATTATTTCTGCGTCCATACATTTTAAATTTGCATATTCTGGATCTACAAAGATAAGCAAATTTAAAACGTATGGACGCAGAAACACTAGCGAGATATATACAGATATATTCTTAAATATATAGTGTTTACCTGCAAGTGTTGATAGAGAATTTTGCATTTCCATTATAACTGGACTATAACTATAATAAGGTGCGAACTTCATTGCTTGATATGGTTCCTGATATTCGTTATTTTCGGACACGTTACCAGGATAAGGCAAAGGCAAAGTAGACCTCAAACTTGACTTCGTTGTTCCGTGATTTAATCTGAAGGTGTCTATGTCTGTAACTCCATATGCTTCGATGGAGCCACCCTTCTCATTTATTCCTGCAATTATAAATGTAAACAAACTTATGAAAAATAATTAGTAATGCTTATGTTGCAGACCATTAAAGCCATAATTATATCAATATAATAACATTTTTTTAAGATATTCTATGTGTTGATTTCATCTTAAGTTATGATCTAATAGGTATTTAATTTTTTTATAACAGTTAATCTCTATTTTGTCTAACAGATCGCTCAAATATCTGTTATACTAGAGAACAAAGAAATACACTAAAAAACAATTTTAAAACCTATTTTTTTGTTAAAATTCCCTCAAATTCGATCTGAAAAATCCTATTAACTTGCCCTACAGACAACACAGCATTAATTAGTTTGTAGAACTCTTCAAGAGAAATTTAATGATGCAAACCACGTCTTCCTAGTTCAAACGATAGTCAAGTTATTTAACAAAAACGTTTATTTCCGTTAAAATTTAACCAAATTTGATCTGAAAATTATATTTTCTTGTTCTATAGATAACACAGCGTATAGGTAAATAATTTTCACGTAAAAAAAGAAGATATTTCACTTGGATTTTTTTTATATTTGCCCTATATCTATTAGAATACGGTTTCATTACTTACCATATACAGATTCTGGTTGAAGATGAGGTAACACGTTGCTTGAAAAATCAATATTCGAAGTATTGGAACTTCGAAAAAATTTTCTGTTTTTAAACTTATAAGTAAGAGCTATAATTATTCCAAAAAGTATTGACAGAATTAAGCCTAAAACAAACAAAAACACGTCCTTTTAATTGGCAATTTAGAATAATTTAAAGATGAACCTGTAGTTATTATAAAATTGGTATTTCTGCTTGACATTTGAATAATAAATATTACTTAAATAAAATTATTTTGCAATTGTTGGCTTTATAATTGATTTTGTGCTACCGATGTCAACTAAAATTTTATTTTTATTCCTTTAGACATATATGAATTAAATGCAACCACTTGTTGCTAAGGTTAGGAACGGACTAGAATATGAACGTTTACCTATCAATATAATAACTGCGATATCAGTTTCACTGGCTACATCATTGGTTACGGGAATTTCAATTTTATGGTTAGTCGTTTCTTGTTTTGTTACAGGTATCTCGGGTGCTGCGGTACTCGGGTTTAATTCGGTACTAAAGTTACCGTGGGTTACTAATGAATCAAAGGAAACTTCACTAATTAAAATCCACTTGGATGCGAAAAACAATTGAAGTTTAACGAACTGTCCGACACTGTGGTGCAGTTTAATAGATATGTTTCTAGCGTTCTCAAATATTCTATCTTCGATGTATTCGTAAATAATGGGTTCAGCTTTGTTAAAATACTTTCCTCCTATACTAAAAAATACTTTGGCCATCGAGAATACCTGAAAAACATTCAACGTTAAGACATATTTTTATCTAAATGACAAAACCCAGGTTGGTAAATTTTTAGAAACGTTTTTATTTTAAAAAGTAAAAATTTGTATTATATTTTTATAAATAGGGGCATTTTCCAACCTAAATTTAGCAATTTGTTGTGAAGATCATTTTGAGGTAAGTATATGTACCTACCTGTATTTCTTTCGTAAATTGATTATTACAATAAATATGAACAGCTGAAAATTCACGAATTTTATCAAATTCTACTATTATTTCAATGGGTTTATTGTGCCTCGTTTCATTTTTCCATCCTACCCAGGTTTGTCCTTCATAAAAATCCGTTTTAAAATCATCGTGACCAAATCTTCCATCGGTAAGTTGACCTAGACCGTCTTTCAGTTCGTTGCTGTTCCAATCACCATCGTATCTAGAAAATAATAAGAGTTATATTAGAACATCCAATCTAAAATATTTACAACCTATATGAGATTTTAACAAAGAAATTAAAATTTGTTATAAAAAATCGAGTGATTTCAACATAAATTTTTGCTTTTTAAATTCTTACCTTAGATCAAAAAATTCCCAATTATTTCCTCTCTTATCTCCCTGCGGCATTGCGTAACTAATTATTCCGTCATGCCACTGGCAACCGTAAAGTTCTACTCTCATGCATACTGTTCGTTTATGGTAGCTGTATGGATAGAAGCGAAATTTGCTAGCCCATATGGGTGGATCTAATTCGCGTTTTGCTTCTAGATATGGATTTACATTACCAGGAATCACCTGTAACAAATTGAAGGTTTTTATTTTCATAATCATTCCAAAAAAATATTATTAAAAATAGTGTAGATTCAGATGAGTAAGTCATAAGCGTCATCCACTCCTCATTGATTAAAAATCATGTTAACTTCAACATGATTCGTCTGCGTTACTGTGTGTCCACCAATCAATAACACCACATGCGTTTCCCGTTTGTCATTATAAAAAATATAAAGTAATTTAAGCAACATGGCTTGAGTTAATATTTTTGCTTATATCGGAACAACTAAGATCAACCTACTCACCATTAGTACTTTTCGATGGGTTGCCTTTCAATAATTTCAGAAGAAATTTCTTCAACAAGGAAACCTAACCTTACCTATACACCGATACTTTAACTACCACATGTGGAAAGTTCTACATGAAAAGTTACTACTTCCTTAACTTCTACAGTAACCTTGCGCTGATCCTATCTTGTCGGTAGTGCCACCTTTAAATTCTGTTATCATAGCGCCTAGTATGTAGGGGTTCAAATTTTGTTTGCGATGCTGTATCTAGGGTTTCTAAGTGCTATGGACAATTGTACTATTTAAAATGTTATATTGAACGATTAGTAATAATAAATATATATATATATATATATATATATATATATATATATATATATATATATATATATATATATAAAATTCAAACTAATTTATTGGGGGCAGCAGCGATATATAATAAAGAAAACTCTTTAAAGATGATCCAAGCTTTCGGAAATTTAATAACTTATTTCCATCTTCAGGGAATCTACAAAAGGTGTGGTGTGTCTTCATAGGAACATAATATTATTAAGAGAGTGAGTTACTTACATCTTTGTGAGGATGAATTATTAATGATGTTAAATGTTATGATTTTGATGCACATATAGAATTAAAATTACACAGTTTTACAATATAACTTAAAATTATTGTGGTTAAAATTCAGTTTGAAATTTAACTGTTATGTCAATTTTTGTGTCATTCGTTGTTTATGTATACAAGTGTGTTAGATTAAATATAGAAATTACTAATAAGGAACCTAGTTAGGAAGATTACTTTGTACCTAAATTATTATTTAATAAAGTTTTATCTGAGAATGCAGTTTGATTAATTATTTATCATCAACAAAACTGTCACTAATTGTTGTGATGAATGAAAGGATGTTGTAAATTATTTCATCAAAAACAATACTGTCACCATTGTTATGATGAAAGGTTGAATATTAAAAGTTTTTTAATCAGACTTGTATCATAAAAGGTGGTTATTTAAAAAATTAGATTTCATCTGCAATAATACTGTCACTATTATTGTGATGAAGGGTTGTATTGGTGTTGAGTAAGTATGAGTAAATAGCACTTAGATGTTTTATGTCCGTCCTTTTATTAATACAATTTTGATTTTGGTATATCCAAGCCATTTCTAAGAAGAGTCTTTTGGTATAATTGGATTCTGTGTCAAGAATCTTAGATGCATCATAGTCCATTCTGTGGTCTAAACTGTTAACATGTTCAGCTAAAGAGCACCTTTCAGGGTGTAACCATGCGTCACTTCTGTGAGAGATTATTCTGTTACCTAGTGATCTAGATGTTTCACCAATGTATACTTTATCACAATCTTTGCAAGGAATTTGATAAACAACATTACATAAGCTTTTTAATGGTGTTTTGTCCTTTACTTTGGTGTAAATAGAGTTTATAGTTAGTACTGTTTTATTAGCTATTTTTACATTTAATAGTGATTTTAATATTCTAGTTATTTTTGGTGTAATATCTCTTATGTAAGGTAAACTTATGTGTTTTGCTATAGTAGTGATTTCATTATTATTAACGTTGTTGAAATTGTTAGAAATATTATTATTATTATTAATATTATTCAGTTGATCACTTAATTGAGCATCATGTGTCAGGGTAGACGATAGATTGAAAAGTGTATTATTTATTAAACGTAGTGGATAGGCATTATCTAAGAAGAGGTTTTTAAGGATGTTGAGGTTTTTATTGTGAAAGCTTTTGTCAGAAATTTTGATTACTCTGTTTTTCATTTGTTTTATCAAGTTGACTTTCATTTGGTAATTGTGATATGAATTGAAATGTAGGTAACGTCCTGACTGACAAGGTTTTCTGTACCAGTCTATTAGGATATTGTTGTCATTTGTTCTGATGAACCGAGTGTCAAGGAAAGGTACTGACTGGTTTTGATCTTCATTCTCTATAGTGAACTGTATGTAAGGATCATAACTATTAAATGTGAAAAGGATTTCATCAATGTCGTTATATGGCAGTGCCAATATAATATCATCCACATATTTTTTAATAAAGAATACATTAAATGAAAGGACTGGTAGAACATGATCTAGTATGTAATCCATAACATAAGTTGCTAATATAGGAGATAAACTTTGTCCCATTGGGCAACCAAAAGTTTGTTTGAATATTTTATTGTTAAATGCAAAATATGTGTTATTGTATAGAAATTTAATGAGTTTCAAGAAACTATCTTTGTTCAATTTGCAATGATTTTTTATCATATCCCAGTTATAATCAATAGCCCTAGTGGTTATATCTACATAAACATTACTGAAAAGGGACACTACATCTAGGCTAGCTAGTACATAATTTTGAGGAAGTGTTTTATTGTTGTATAGTTCAGATACCTGAAAAGAGTCCTTTATGTAATATTCATTGTCAAAGTTATATGCCGCTGTTAGGATGTTGGTGACAAAAGAAGAAAGGGATTCTGTTGGAGCTCCTATGGATGCTACAATAGGTCTTACTTTAAGAGTTTCTTTGTGAATTTTGGGTAATGAATAAAATTTGGGAGCTATGCCATTATAACAGGTTAATTTCTTTTTTGTGATCTCGTCAATTTGTTTAGTTAAGTAAAGTTGTTTTATTAATGCATTACAGTTTCGTTGAATGGACGTCGTAGGATCTTTATTTAATTCAATGTATGATGTATCATTATTAATTAATTCATTGCTGAGATTTAAGTATTGATCTTTTTTCATGAGAACTGTCACATTACCTTTGTCTGATCTGGTGAGAATGATATTAGGATTATCCTTTAGAAATTTTCTACTTTTATTTAGGAGGTCATGGAAATTGTTATGACTTGAACTATTATGTATTGCTGCTGCCCCCAATAAATTAGTTTGAATTTTACATTACTATTCAGCAAAGACTACCCTTCCACTCTATATATATATATATATATATATATATATATATATATATATATATATATATATATATATAGGAATTTTTGAAAAAGTAACAATTTAAATAAATGTGTGTGTATTTCATTTTTACTCCTAAGCTCCTTCGATCGTTACAAGTATTAACTCATGCGAGACCCTTGTAATTTTCCAAAGTCACGCAATCCGGGAGTCCATTTGGCGCCTGAAATATACTCGTAACATTTTGTTTATGAAATTCATACAGCGTTTTTGTATAACACCTTAAATTCTCGTGGACAGTAGATCTACTATAATTTTTTATTTGATTGGTTACTGTTGGGTTTGGAATTATTTCTTTTTTTCATAAAAAAAAAAATGAATTCACCTCGGGTTCAAACAAAATACTTTTCTATTAAAAGATTGCTATATATTAAAATCGCACCACTATAAACAATTATAAAGTAATTGCAATTAAATTTCATGAAAATAGACGTTGCCACGTTGCTACAAAATTCGTATATCTCAAGAAACATTTTATAAAAACTGTCAAAATTAGATTGTCTATTAATTAGCTCACAAAGTACCTACCGAATCTAAGATGACATAAAAATGATTACTTACTTCTTCGCCTTTGCTGTTATGGTATCGAATCCATTTTTGTAATTTGGGTCTCCAGTATTCCACCATGTAAGCTTCAGCGTATTCTATTCCTTGACCGTTCCCAAAACGACCTTGTGTTTCGGTGGCAGTTATCATATAAACTACGTGCAATTCCAATTGAATCCACTCTTCAGGTTCAGTCGTTGCTTGCTTTAAGGGACACCAAGCACCGCCATTCTTATCCGTTCTAATTCTGTAAAATAATTAGGGTTCGTTAGTTTTCTCTAAAAAATATGTCACTGTTATAATAATAAAAATATCATAAATATGTCCTGAAAAACAAAAAACAACAAAAACCAACAAAAAAAACAACAAAAAACAACAAAAACAACAAAAAACAACAAAAAAACAACGAAAAATAACAAAAAAAAAAATAACAAAAAGAACAAAAAACAACAAAAAACAACAAAAAACAACAAAAAACAACAAAAAACAACAAAAAACAACAAAAAACAACAAAAAACAACAAAAAAACAACAAAAAACCAACAAAAAACAACAAAAACAACAAAAAAACAACAAAAAACAACAAAAAAACAACAAAAAACAACAAAAAACAACAAAAAACAACAAAAAACAACAATAAACAACAAAAAACAACAAAAAACAACAAAAAACAACAAAAAAACAACAAAAAAACAACAAAAAACAACAAAAAACAACAAAAAACAACAAAAAACAACAAAAAAACAACAAAAAACAACAAAAAAACAACAAAAAACAACAAAAAACAACAAAAAAACAACAAAAAAACAACGAAAAATAACAAAAAAAAAACAAACAAAAAAACAAAAAAAAAACAAAAAAAAAAAAAACAACAAAAACAACACAAAACAAAAAAACATGTATTTTTGTGTTTTTTGTTTTGTTTTTTCTGTTTTTTGTTGTTTTTTTCAGGACATATTCACGATATTTTTATAACTACTTGAATGATTAAAAACTAAACTGTTCTTACCTGCCATTTGTTTTTTTGTTCTTTTTTTTATTTCTTTTGTTTTTATTATTTTTTTTGTTTTTTTGGTTTTTTTTTTTTTTTAATTATTAAAGACTAAACTGTTCTTACTTGCCAAACAAACAAAAGAAACCAAAAACAAAAAACAAAAAAACAAAAAACAAAAAACGAAAAACGAAAAACGAAAAACGAAAAACGAAAAACGAAAAACGAAAAACGAAAAACGAAAAACGAAAAACGAAAAACGAAAAACGAAAAACGAAAAACGAAAAACGAAAAACGAAAAACGAAAAACGAAAAACGAAAAACGAAAAACGAAAAACGAAAAACGAAAAACGAAAAACGA